TTGTGCATTTATTTTCTAAATTCTATAGAAAATAAAAAGTGGAGTTATAACCCCAAATTATAATAATATTGGTTTTTATACTTGTCCATGTGTTTACCTTTACTGGACAATTGTATATTAATATTTTTGTTTGGCTTCAAGTTATTGTCTAATGTCCTTTCATTTCAATGTGAATGATTCCCTTTAGCATTCTTTGTAAGGCAGGTCTACTGATAATGAACACCTTCAGCTTTTGTTTATCTTTATCTGGGAATGTCTTAATTTCTTCCTTATTTTGAAGGATAGTTTTGTGGGATATAGAATTCTCAAATTGACAGTGTTTTTTCTATCAGCACCTTAAATGTATCATCCCACTGCCTTCCAGGCTCCAAGGTTTCTGCGGAGAAATACCCTAATAATCTTACTGAGGATCCCTTATACCTGAATCTCACTTTTCTCCTGGTGCTTTCAAGATTCTCTATTTCTCTTTGGTTTTTGATGGTTTAGTTACAAAGTATTTCAATGTGGGTCTCTAGATTTATCCTACTTGGAGTTCATTAAGCTTCTTGGATTTGTAAACCCGTATATTTACTCAAATTTGGGAAATTGTCAGCCATTACTTTTTCAAATATTCTCTCTGCCTTTTTCTCTCTCTCTTCTCCTTATGGAATTCCCTCAATGCATATATTGGTCTGCGTGGTAGTGTCCCGTAAGTCCCTCAGGCTCTGTTCACTGCCTTCAAGTTTGCTCAATCTTCTGCCTATTCAAATCTTCTGTTGAACCCCTTTATTGAATTTTTCCATTCAATTATTGCATTTTTCAGCTCTATGATTCCTTTTTATAATTTCATTCTTTTTTTGTATTCCCATTTTGTTCATATATCGTTTTTCTGATTTACTTTAGTCATCTGCATTTTCCTTTAGCTCTTTGAACACATTTGAGACAGTTGTTTTAAAGTCTTTGACTAGTACTTTGATGTTTATGTTTCTTCAGGGAGAGTTTCTACCACTTTATTTTTTATTTCTTTGGTTGAGCCATGTTTTCCTGTTTCTTTGTATGTCTGGCAATTTTTTATTGAAAATTGGGCATTTGAAAAAAGCTAACTATTCCAGTCTTCGTAGACTGGCTCTGTACAAGAGGAGATTTATTTCTAACTAGGAGTTCATGTTCTGAGCAGTGGAGTCAGCCCAACATGACCATTTAAAGCATTCTCGGGTTCTGGGTGTACATCTTGCCTGAGCCTGTGTGTACTTTTTACAATTCCCCCATATACATAGCTGCTTTTAAATGTCTTAATTTCCCGAAGAGAGAATAAGAGGGAAGACTCTGCTTATTCCTGGGGCCCTAGATGTT